AGCCTGCTGTCATATATGATAAAGAAAAGCAACAGATTTGAGAAGCTGGAGCCAGGAAATATCTGCATTTAGGTTGAACAAGACTAAGATGCTTGCATGCTAACGTGGCACAGTGAAAATGCTACCACGTTCACCATCTTAGTTTAGCATGTTGGCATGCTGTCGTTTATTAATAAATTGCACTAAACACAAAGTACAACAAAGGCTGAAAGGAGGTTCATTCATTTTGCAGGTATTTGGGCAAAAACATGTCTAGTATAGGACAATTTAAAAATTTGACCTGATGTACCAGATGAAAAGTTGAGGGATCACCAAAGTTATTAAGCTATGACTCATCTGGACCAACGCTACTTTGGTTACAAGTGGCTTTAAATAATTAATTGCTGATCAAAATAGTTTCTGATTCTGTTGATCTAATGAATTAATCTTTTTTTTTGTGTCAGCTCTAAGCCTTTAACTTGTCTTTATTTGTAAATCATGTGTTTCCACAAGAACTCCAGGCCAGAGTCTGTTCTGGTCCTGCAAGCTCTTTTCAGTCAATTTGACAATACAAAGAACTTACTTCCCCTTATTTTTCTGAAATAAATTGACAATAAGGGGACTCCCAAAAGACAATACTGAAAACACTTCTGCCAGAAGCAAGACAAGCAAAACAAGCAAAACAAGCAAAACAAGCAAAACACATATTATAAGTAGTTAGAATATAAACCATATGTGCTAAAAACAACCCCCACATAACATTTAACTCTCTCTTTTTCACTTATTTATGAGGAGAGCGTATAATGTTTTCAGCCTTCACTGACAATTACACTGGTCATTGGGCACCTCAACGTTTAAGCTACCTTCCTCAAAGCCTTTACTGAGAGAAGTGTCCTGAAACTTGAACATGTCACACTGAATGAGAACCAGATGGCGTTCAATCCTCTGTAACTGTAGCCTACACTTAAATCTGAGTTATGACGCCCTGTGAACACAACCTTGAGTCACTGCAGCAAAAGCAAAGATGACAGAAATAATTTGAGAAAATAACACTGATATGTAACAGTTTCATGTCACGTTAAGCCATTTGTTTGTTTCCCAATTTTGTCAAAACAGTTTACCAAATAATTTCATCTCATTTAAATACATTTTTTGTTTTTAGCTTTGATTTCAGAGTATTGGTCACACTCTGACCTCTACTGTGTTTCAAATTTCATCTAATTTCATCTTCTCTAATCCCCAAACATTATTTTATTTAAGAGGGAAATGACTGCATGTCATTACACATCCATGATAATTGTATGTTTTGTGATACAGCAAAAGATTTATGAAAGTCATCCTTGACTTGCCAAATCAACTCTCTGCGGCTGCATATGGTTTTAATCATGAATGCAATTACATAACTAACAATTTATGCTTGAAAACAAACAAATATATATCTTTCCCTCATTGGTGCCTATGGGAAATTTAACTAAAAGAACACACAGTACCTGGAACTTTGATGTTGGCCTTCCACCTGTGGTTGTTGCCTCGAGTGTAAAACTCCACATATCCTCCAAAGGGATTGGTGTAGACTGAGAAGCCATTGGAGATAACTTTGCCACCAGAGGCTACGGCAAAACGGGACTCTGCCTCGTGGTTTTTCCAAAAAAAGGAGAAGGTAATCCCTAGCAAATGACGAAAAACAAATTGTAGCCAACAATTCCTGAAATGGTTTGAAAATAATTTGTGTTTTGCCATATTATCGTATGCTTAAACTGCAGTGAACTCACCATCAGGACCACACAAAGTAGGGTCACTAATGCACGAGTTCTGGTAGTTTCCAAAGTGGAGAAAGGTGCCGCCATTATCTCCATTCAGAAAGATACCCTTGTTGACCATTCCTTCAACAATATCTGCAGCACAGCACAAATCAAGGGCATCATTTTGCTAGAAAATTAGGAGCATTGTCTGCTAGCCAGGAGGTCCACGTAAGTGCCAGAATATTCAAAATGTAATACTGCAGTAGACAAATTGTACATTTTTTAGCAACTGATGAACATGGGGGTTTTGCAGCTTTCTTGGTTTCCCGTAAAAGAATACAAAGACTTAAATAGATCAATATTTTACAATTCTGGTTTGACTGAAGCTAATGAACAAAAAAAATCTATTATTAAAAGGCCAGTAATTCCTCGTCTTGTGTTGCACGGACAAAAGACTGAACAAGGTGAAAAGTGTGAAATGGCCAGCGCAAACGTGTGTACATTCAGAGAGGACAATGGAGAGCAGTCAGTGATGCACAAATGAATTTCAGTGAGCAGAAAGTGATTGATCCTCACCTACTGTTGCAGAAATGTTAGTGTAGGCAGAGTCATTGGTATACACATAGGAAGAGTTATGGGAGGAAGGGAGCACAGTGTGGTTGTGGATTCTGAGAGCTGGACAAAGACAACAGAGAAAAACAGTGATTCACACACACATATATAGACACATAACAGAAGACACAAGAGAACAGTGACAAGGAAGACAATAGGAGGGACGTGGTGTGCAGGTATGAGACAGAGTGATGCTGAGTGCACAGTGGCAGCGCTCAAAGATGTTCAGCTCTGTTCCTCATAACTTGAGGATGTTCCTTAACGCGGAGACTCCACACATCATACTCAAGTCTATACCTGATCCCTCTTCAACTTAATTTTTTTTCTTTTTGACAGCTTGCACTGGAAAACTGCAATGTAGTGACAACATGGCTGAAAACTCAATGCATGTGAAAGGAGTAACAGTCTTTCAGTTCTTCACTAATTAAAATGCTGAATAATTTCCTATATTTTACCACCTCCAGATCATTGATACTGTATGTAAAGTATTGCAGCATTTCAAATTATAAGAATACATCACACATCAGATATTCTGTTCTAACCAGTGACAAATCAGTCAGCCAATACAAACACCCTGAACACAGCAGCACATTTAATAACCATGATGGCTGTGGATGGAAGGTGGGTGGTGAAAAACAGTTTGAGAACCATGCAGCGAGCAATCAGAAAAAGACATTTAGATGGTGCATTCCCATGAGCATATAGAGCCTGTTTATGTATGCACATACTTATGTTACTTCCGTTAACATAACCTGGTCTGTTTCCAATCTGGTCCCACAGTTCATGGATTCCGTCCACAGCATCGAGAGGCCAATAATGTGAGGCCGTGGCCAACACCTGCAGGCCTGGACAAAGAGTTCACGGGTAAATAAGCATCCAGAAAGGACTTTTCCCCCAATCAAGCTCTGTCCCATTGCTCAAAATTTATTTTCCTGGCTTTCCATTTGGATTTTGGGGGAATTAAAAGATTTATAATAATGAACTCAACAGCTGTAAAATGTATACAGTCTATTCTCAATAATGAGAAGAGCAGTAAACAAATCAATAAATTGGAAATTAGCAGATGTTTTATACAGTTCGCTGCCTATTTCTGATCCAATATAGAGCAGTACAATGTCAGCTTATTTAATTCTGGCAACAGGATGGAAAAATGAAATGAATCACACCACCCATATAAAAATTCAGTACTACCTGGATGCTTCACAGGTTGCTCAGCATAAACCTGTAAATAAATCAAATGTATCTATAAGGGCTACTATACAGATGGTAAGACTATTATATGAGAGGATGGGACTATAGTTTTTAAAATGTGTTTGTTAAGAGCTTACCTTAATACAGGAGACAAAAGCTGTAAAAAGGTGAATTCGCAAAGACATTTCCATAGCTTTTGTGTGTACCATATCAAGTATTATCTAAAACAACAGTTAAATGCCCAAATAAAGATGAATCCAAGAGCAGTCTCTCATTATTCCAAGATGTGAAAACTTCTTCAGTCCATGTGTCCAAACTCAAAATAGAAATATATATATATATAAATGATAATAAAAACAGTATTGGAACAAAAAAATAATAAATTTAATGTTCTGGCATGAGGCAGATAAACTTCAGAAGTTGCCCTTTCATTATAAAAATCTGCCCAGCTTCCACTTCCACGCAGAAAACTATAATCCGTGCTCTTTATTCCTACATTGAACTAGTACTTCTTTGAGTTTCTGTGTCTGCCTCTGAAGATTGCAAGGAGTGGAGAAGCTCCGTGGAGGCGTACTGGTTTGTTGGACTGAACGTGGGAATTGCAAAACGTGATGTCATTTTTGGATCTTCTGAGGAGGGGCGTTAAAGCTGTGCGTAAATGCCATTATTTTGCGTAATTGGAGATTGCGCGGGGAAGGATCAGGATGTGCACTGTGTAATCCAAAAAGCCGAGTGTTTAGATAAAATTGACCTATTAACATGTGGTCTCATAACTAGTTTTGGAACAACACACTGGACTCTGGGGACAACAGGGATATGCTGCTGAGGATGGGTGGTTTTTGTTTACTGAAAGGCAGGCAGACCCAGAAACCACTGGAGTCACACAGACACAAATTACAACTTTTTAGTGACCTAATGGGTTTGGTTAATTACATGTCACACACTCAAGGTGTATTCAATGAAATTACTTACCTCACACTGCACGTCTATGAAGAAATATCACAAGAATATTATATGTGTCAGTGGGATGTGGGTCACAGTTCGTCTTGTTAGTGAAATCCTCCTGAGAGCCATCAGAAGTACCACAAGTGCTGTTGCAGGCTACAATGTCAATTTACATGTATGTCACGGTAAACAGCGCCACCGCGTGGCCACGTGGCCGATTGCTCCAAGCTGCCACCCAGTCGTGCTAATCTATTATTTATTAAACCCTCTCGTATGACCGCCTGGTGGTGTGTTTTCAGTCAAAGTAAAATCCACCATCTGATAAAGAAAAATAACTGTGGTTTTGATAGAATAAACCACAAAAACTGTGTTGCCTATTGTGTCACGCGGATATATAGGCCACTTAAGAGAAGTTTTTAAATCGAGGTTACCATTGTCATAATGGTCCGATCAAATTTTATTGACGGTGGATTCGTTTATCCCCCGTGAGGCTGAGAGAGAGAGAGAGAGAGAGAGAGAAGGCGGATCCCGGGAAAGAGACATTGTGGACATGTTCCTCGCGCTTGTACGATGAGAGATATCGAGAGAGTAGAAACACAATTTAATTTTAACTTTTGTTTAGGTTTTTCTCACTTTTCAGGGCTGTATTTCAGACAGTTCTGATACAAATTAAACTTTCGGACCTGAGGCGCTGTCTTCATATTTCCAGCGTCTAAATAACGCCGTTAATGTAGACGGTGCTTCTCAGCTCAGCTCATCTCATCTCACCTCAATTCGACCATCTCGACCTCAGTCCACAGTAAGGAGGCCCTGTGTTACTCTGCACATGGAGACTTACAGGATGACCCGGCTGACGTTTTGCTAAAATTAACTGGGCAGGAGACGAGCTGGTCGGTGTGATGAAGGATCGACTGGCTGAACTGACTGCTGCTGTACGTGTGTTTTCTTGCTTTAACTGTGTATACCTGGACAGGTAAACAACCTGGCTGCACTGAAAGTCTCTCAAAACACATTTTCTTCCGTATAGAATAGGACACAGGTAGTGGAGGATGTCGCTGTGGCAGTGGACAGAGATGGCTTCATGGAGAGCTTTTTCAGAAGGGTAGGTATCACTACAGCTTCCTGGATGTGCAGAGGTTTGGAAGACCCGGGATAATTTCTGATACCGATATGTTACTGATTGATTGATTTGTTGGTCGATTTAGGTGGAGGAAGTTAGAGGACTCATTGATAAGATCGCCTACCAAGTGGAGGAGGTGAGGAAGATGCACAGCATGATCCTTTCTGCGCCCAACTCAGATTGCAGTAAGTGTGTCTTTATATAACAAAAATTAGGCAATTGCCTTTGATGTGAGAGACCCGGGTTTGATTCCCACTGTGACCCACCCAACATTGTGTTCCTGAGCAAGACACTTCAGAGGTGTGTGACCTCTGACATGTATAGCGATTGTAAAGGAGAACATTTGTATTTCAATATTGACATGTCTGCAGTTTTTAAGGGTTAATATGAGCTGCTTGGCTGGAGTTTGACTTTTAAGGCACAAAGTGAAAATACAACAGATGTCTAATTTCCTTTCCTCATTGGAAATGAATGACCGCCTGGCCGGAAACCTGTGAAGGAAACAGCTCTTTTGCCCCAAAAGTCACAAACCATTGTAGTTTGGGCTCTGGCTTGTCCTATAAGGAACCTTTAAACAGTCAGCTGCCATTTGCAAATGTTTGCGTGCACATGTGCATTTTTCTCCTACCAAGCAGATACAGTTTTTCTGATTTAAAGCTAATGAGTACTGATATTTGTGAATGTAGCACAGTGTTACTCAGTTCCTGGCTTTGTTCAGTGTGTGAGCTGAGGCCTGAGGACAGCGCAAGACAAAGAGTCACTTTACAGGGCCATGGCATCTTCAGTGATTATGTTTAGTGTAACATACAAGTTTTTTTAGATCCATTATGTGGAAACTGGTCATCAGGGAAAGGAACAAAAGGGCTTGTGCTTTATGTTGTGTGACCTCTGCAGTATTACCACAGAGTTGTTGCTAAGTTACAAGATGAAATCAAAGTAAATTCAATATTTACAGGACAGAGAGAGTCACAGTGATTAGCTGGACGACATTATTTTTCCTCATCAGCAAACCATGTGTTTCCTATTTGTGTTCGTGTGAAGGAACAAAGAATCAACTGGATGCACTGACCCACGATATCAAATGCAACGCCAATGTGGTGAGAGCTAAACTAAAATGTGAGTTGAACCATGACATGATTGTCACACTTAGATATTTATTGACTTCACCAAACAAAAGCTGATGTTGACTGCTGTTGTGTAACGCTGTATCATGTCTCTCTCCCTCTGCAGCCATGGAGCAAAGTATGCCCAAAGATGATGTAGCAAACAGATCCTCTCTTGACTCAAGGATCCAGAAAACACAGGTCAGGAAACCAATCAAGTGTAATTTTGAACCTTGCTTTGAAATACCTATTAAAGTGTACTTTTAATTCCAGCGATGTAAGTATCTGGTACAGGACTGCATTGCGGGGTATTAAGTTATAAATGTCTGCATTCTCACCCTTTGTCTTTGTGTTCCCACTTGTCCTCAGCACACAGTGCTGTCCAGGAAGTTTGTGGAGGTCATGACCCAGTATAATGAGACTCAAGTGTCCTTTCGGGAACGAAGCAAAGGAAGGATCCAGAGACAGCTAGAGATAAGTAAGTGACAAATAATGGATCCCCTGGACCCTGGAACTGTGGGCCACATTTCTAGAGTAGTCTCTGAAGCTTTAAAATAATAATTATAAATGCAAATTGCTACTACAAACATGAAATACTAAGAGATAAAATAATGACAAATTAAATGTTGAAGCTTTGTTAGGACAGGAAACAGATCACTCCGGTTTCCTCTCTGCCGCTCTGGACACTAACCAAACTGTTGATAAACAGACACCAGCAGCGGGACGGCATTTTTTCAGGTTCCTTCAAAGTTCTCTTTTGCACATACCAAAGTCACAATTGATCACATCCAAACACTACATTTGGAATGTTTTGTGAGTTTTGATGGGACCTTAATGAGCAAAAGTGGTAGTAGTAAGGGTAATCAAAGAACAGGACATACAATAGAGCACCAGCTGGTTATATAAAGAGATACAACTGGAAAGAGATGCTGACAAAACAGCATTAATGTATGCCGCTGCAGAATCTAGTCAACTTGCGTCAACATGGGATTTAATATAATGAAAAGCATGCAAGGTACTGTGTAAATAAGTATACAGGTGTGTATATAGTTATCTCTGTTCAGAATTACAGTTACAAATGCAAAGACGGTGTGTATCAGGTGCCTTTTATTATGCACATATGAGTAATACGAGACAATAGTGAAAGGCAAAATAGGAGTGTCTCCCACAGTCCCTGCGGCCAGCGTTAATGAGAGGCTCTGGTTCTCCACAGTGCAGACAGAGAGCCTGATACTGGAGACGGCTTGCTGTGTTTGTGTTGCCCAGGAAACTGGCAGAGGGCTCGGTGGCCTGTGTAACAGTAGTTCACCTGTCTTTGACACGGCCACAGGAACCTCGCTCTGTGCTGTCGTAGACTTACACCATTAATTCACATCCCTCAGAAGTGATGCTCTGTTTTTTTTTTTGCCTAATGTGCATTGATGATTTGTAATGGTGGTGCGTTTTGCTGTGTTTGGCTCCGTATCTCTGAGGAATAGCCATTGCAAAAGGTCTGTGACATGCAGTAAGCATCTGCACAGATATCGGTCTCTCTAGGGAGGGAGTACAACAGGAGGCTTTGCTTTAGGAGAAAGCTGTCTGTTTATAGTTTCAGCAGGTGTTTCTCTATGAGGCCTTCTGGGTTACTTTGTTCCTCAGACATGTCTAATCTTAGTACAACCCTTATCCTCAAATAAACCGGAAACTACAGCACAAACTCACTACAATTAAACATTAAGAAAAGAAGATATACTTTATTAATCAAAATATATAAATTAAAATATTAAATATAAAATTTTATATAAATATTAAATATTTTATTAAATTAAAATATATAAATTAGCGGTCCACTGATAAATGCATTGTTTAAAACGGTTGCACTGAGGTTTGTAGTTGAATTGCAGCATGTTTTGCAATCAATGTTTAGCACTCTTCCTCACAAATCATTCAGTTCTTAAAAACATGTGAACAAACGGCATGCAGTGACACCTGTGTGCCCTTATCTAACACATTAACACATTATAAGTTTTTCAGGAGGGGGATATCGCATTTGGAATGAAGCCTTAATGTGTTGTTTTATTTTAGGTATGCATTTTCTTTTTAACAGTGTCCCCTGGTTGGATAACATTATTTTTCTGCTCAATCAATACAGCTGCAATGAGTCTGCTTCTCCTTACACAGCGGGCTGTATACACAGCAGCTTCACAACACTGCCAGACAAATGTATTATCCTGGGATTAAACACACAACAGTATATATAGTAGGGCTAAGCACAGACATTTGTTGTTTTCATTCTTGACATGAGTGCAACCCTCAGTACTCTTGGGAGTTTTGTCTATTAAATGTCAGTTGTGTTGTTAAAGCATGCCACAAGAATGATAAACACAAGTCCCTAATTACAACAGGGTGTGTCAGATAATCAATCTTTTTAGTTATAGACGGCTGTTAAAATCAAACTATCATCAAATCATCAGGCAGAACTAGTCTTCTTATCAATAATGGATCAAGGGAGCTCAGTCCACTGGTCATTCATATTTTAATGCCAGATACTGAATCAAAGGTCCAGAGCGAAAATAAAAGGTAGTGGTGTGATGTTAAAATAATCTCTAGACTAAGCTATCAATAAATGCAGCCTTTTTTCACTAAATTGAATCTTTACTCAATGCCTGTAAATTCTGTCCTATTTTCTCATCATGTCTCTGAGTCAGATTCTAGGTGTTTTGGAGACTACAGTTTTTTTCACTTTAAAAAATGGCATGATATACAGTCAGGGGCATTTTTGGATCTAGCATCCAGTCTTCCTTATAGGTCATTACAGACAAGAGTACTTAACAACCTTTCTCTAAAACACTTACATATATAAGCACCCTGAATTCAGAGTTTTAATGCTCTTGTCATTTTGATCCCAGAATACAAATACGTGGACTTACAGTATGTAGAGAACAGCACCTACAGTTGTGTGATTTCATTAAGCCCAGGCCTTTGCATGCCACTAGTCATATTCATTCAATCAACTGGAGGGAGGGTCAGTTCATTGCTGGAGAATCACTGCCTGCTATTTATTATTTTAGCTGGAAGAGTGACCACCAATGAAGAACTAGAGGACATGTTGGAAAGTGGAAATCCCTCAATCTTCACATCTGATGTAAGTTTTCTCATGCTTTACTGTGCAGTATAATGTCATTGCAGGGTAAAAAAAGAACAGTTACTGCCATCTAGTGGTGTGGGGGAGTAAATCATTTGGGGTTAGGCAGTGCATTTCCTTTTTTATATGTTTGGATGCGCTGTTTTAATGTGTCTCTCTATCTTTCCCTCAGATAATTTCTGATTCTCAGATCACACGTCAGGCCCTAAATGAGATAGAGTCGCGACACCAGGACATCATGCGTCTGGAGTCGAGCATCAGAGAGCTCCATGTGATGTTCATGGACATGGCAATGCTGGTAGAAACTCAGGTAACAGCTTCTGAGTCAGTGTCTAATAGTATCTGGCTTGTGATACATCTTCACAGTGCACAAGCATGTAGTCACTGTGTTTCTTTATCAATACTATAAAGCAAAATGCAATAAATAAAAACATTCGGATCCTCTTATTTACAGGGGGATATGGTTAACAACATTGAGAAGAATGTCTCCAATGCAGCCGAATATATTTATAGTGCAAAGGAAGAGACCAAAAAAGCAGTGAGATACCAGAAAAAATCCCGGAGGGTAGGTGTTCCTTTCTAATTATATGTTGCTAAATGGTCACAAATAAAAACATTTGCAAATGTCAGTTATACAAGATATCCAATTTGGATGACAAACTTGTCCCATGTGATTGTGAATATAATAAAATCTGGTTATATCTGGCTTTTGAAATGATACACTACTTTTATTTCAAATAACAACCTCTTCTTCACTTGGCAGAAATACATTATTCTTGCCTTTGCTCTGTTGATCCTTCTCGCTGTCATTGCACTAATTGTTGGCCTGTCTGTTGGACTAACCAAACCCCCTGTATGAGAACTACTACCTGAGGTAACACTTCATCCAGAACTTCCATCCATCCATTCATTTATTTATGCATCCACGAAATCCATCATTCATTTAGCTGTTGAATGGCTCAAAGGATTTGTAATGCAGTTCTCCACAAGCAACACTTCTGACTCCTGTTCTTCTCTTTTTGACAGAAACTTCTCTGCCTTGCCATGTTTGGGGTAGCAGGTTTGCTCCTTTTAATCATCATAATAGTTGGAATCTATGAGTGATGGATTTCATGGTTCACAACCTCACAGCAGTCAGATGTAGTCAGCTCCCATAGTGATGACACTTGAACAGCTTCATAACGAGATAATTAGAAATCATTCACTGTCTGCCCAGCAGCATTACAGAGAGGTAATCTCTTGAACCCAGTGATGTAAGTATGATGTGTGTGATCCACTCTTGCAACAGTAACATCAGACCTCCATGACACATTGTTCTGGAGCAATTCTATACAGCTAGAATTAAGCGCCTTGTCAGCACATCTCACTTCCCCTTCGCAGTGATGAACGCTGACAGCATGTCAGATTTATACACTGGTGTGCGTTCTGTATTGCTGCAATTTTTTTTCATCACTTGCCATCACTTTCAGACATTTCTTGGTCTAATGACTTTAAAAGAATAGTTTGACATTTTGGGGAAATACACTCTTTCGCCTTCTTGCCGAGCGTTAGATGTGAAGAAGACTGATACAGCTCTCATGTCTGTACGATAAATATGAACCTATCACAAGCAGCCAGATTAGCAGCTTAGTTTAGCACAAAGACTGGAAACAGAAAAGCAGCTAGCCTAGCTCTGTCCAAAGTTGACACATTAAGGTTTAACAGGGTGTTATGTGCCAACACCCAGCACATAACCTTTTAGAAAACCAAAATGTGTAATTTTTACACTTCTATTTGTGTACGGATTAAACAAACAAGATATAATGTGGTAGTTGTGTGATTATATGTGTTAATTCATGCGTTTGTGTGAGGCAAGCACGGTTGCACTGATTACAGTTCCACTGAATTGCTCTCCTTCTTAAAAGACCTAAAACCAGCTGTTAATCTTGTGCGAGTAAGGCAAGATGAAAACTTGAGAAAAACCTCTTAATCTGTCTTGCTACAGCGGTATCAATCTAAAATAAACAGATTTTGCTGTGATTTATTGGTAATAGAAGGATTAAAAAGATGCCAAAATAACTACATCATGATGCCGATTTGTAAAACGTCAATGCTTTTCTTTTTTTTTTTAATGGAGATCAGCTTTTTCAGGGTTATGCAATGCTAGCTTGTGCTAAGCTAAGATAACCCGCTTCATATTTAGCATATAGAGATGAAAGTGGTATCAGTCTTCTCATCTTACTATTACTGCAAATACCCCCAAAATGGTGAACTAGTATTTGTATATTAAAATTATATTGTGATAATTGTAATTCTCTTTCTAAAATGATTGTATAATTTGTGTTTACATGTTAAAGTGTATGCTCTGTATGTTATCTTGTCATGTTGTATACTTACTGTAAGTTATGTGAATTGAATTTAAAACTACTACAGCTCAGGAGAAATTTAAAAATGTATAAAAAATATATATAAAAAACAAACATATATTCACTATAAGCATTCCTAGTTAACTGTGTCTCATGGAATTCATCACTCCATTCAACAACTCTAGCCTAAATCAGTAACAAGTGCCTTCTTGACATGTTAACTTATTGCTTTGTATTTATCATGATTGCTGTGTGCAATGACTGAAATATTAGTTGTGAAAAAAGTCATGCTGCAAGATAGGAATCTTGGACGGCGTTATTTCAAGAGCATTCACCGTAGCATTTTTCAATGAAAATATATTTGTGCATCTCCACCTATTTGTGTGGATTCTTTTCTACCATGCTGTTTTACACACAATCCACTTATGGGTGACGTCACATGACTTGTGTCTGTAAAACACAATTCACGAATAAATGCAGAATGATTTGACATTTGAAACCTTAACTTACTGATTTGTTTTTATCATGATTGCGGTGTGCGATGACTGAAATATTAGTTATGAAAAAAGTCTTGCTGCAAGGTAGCACTCTTGGACAAAGTTATTTCAAGAGCACACATTTTCATTTTGATTCTTTTGTTTTTAAGTTATATCCTGCATTTTTATATTGAAACAGAAAATTAAGTCATGTAATTAAAAAATAAAGAGTAAAAAGTCTTCTTGCAGAATGTTTTTTTTATTGTTTATTTCCTTTCACATTGAAGGTGATACAGTTGAACCTATTACTCATATACAGGATCACTCCAGATATTTTAAATTGCTGACAAGTCTGAATTTGTCAGACAAAATTAAGGTTAATAGTCTGTTCTTTTAACACTCCAAACATTTGGAGGTTTGGTTTGTTTACAGGAAATCAGAAAGAAACAGAGGGTGCTGTTTACTTCAGGACTAATGAGCACTTTGCACACAGCGCTTGACATCCGTGTAATCAACCAAACAAGATTAGTCAAGAAAGTGGAAGTAGGTCCCCTGAAGGCAAGTTCTTTTCTGTCTTGAATTAGATCAAGGAAACTTCAGGGGTGCACTTAAAGTGAAATGCCAGTGAATGTCCTTAAAATCTGCACGAGGGTGTTTTCGGGTCACTGAGCAAGACATCCTAGATGTCAAGTTGAGTGATATTATCAACTGTGATTAAACTTGGACACACATCAGTTTATTTGGATGAGTAATATGAGTGAAGCTGTATGTAGGCTTGTTTGTTCTAATTAACATATTTCTGTTTTGAATAATACTATTATGATGTTATTCATTAGGATACACCATGTTGTTGTCTGTGAGAGTGCACTAACTTTGACAGCCAGCAGTTATCCATCAGGTATCTATCACATTTCTTTCAAACATCCATTTCCCACCCTTGTCCTCTGTGGTCACTGATGTAGAAATATTTACTTTGGACAGAGTGGATAATGGTCACTTGCTATGGCTCCTTCTTGGTACACATCACATATTGGTGCAATATTATTGGAAACAGGTGCAGAGCACAAAGCAAGCACAGATTCCTACCCGGTAATAACATCTATCTTAACCTTATTTTATTTCTATTATTTCCATTGTTCAAGCACACTCAACTCTTCTCATCTTTCCGTTACCTGACCATTATTATCTGTTCTGTCACTCCCTCACAATGTTATGCAAACTCTACCAAAACGGTTTCAGTCTCCTTTTCCTCAACTCCTCTTGTCATTCTTTTAGCACTTTTTACTGAATTATTCCAAACCCTCTACACTAGTTCCTTCATTTTTACACTGAGAGATACTCTGTCACCTACTTGCAACTGCCAAACCTTTGCACCCCCTCTCTTACTACTTTGCCTTCTTTAACTTTTCCAACACTAATCACTTTTCCTTCTACATCTGCACTTCAGCTTTAGCAAGATTCCATCTCCCAGTCGTACTTTCTACAACTTGTCCTCTAATGATTTTTCGGTTCAACTTTCCCCCCTACACAAGGGAAGCCTGCAGCTGTTTCTGTGCTGCCCTCTGTAACTAGGAAGCGCTGGTCAGTTATTTAGTCCAGATGAATTATGTATTTTTGAGTCTTATACATCCATGGTTCAGACCCAGCACACATGGTCAGGGCTAGCTAGCTTGTTTGCCAAGTATATTACCAATGTAGCTTGATAAAATGCATTCTTTTCAGTAATTACACTAAGTAATTAGCATTTCAATAAGGATAGGAGGTAGGCAGTAGAATTACATGTGTTCCGTTAGGTAATGTTTTTGCAAAAACTTTTTAGAGAAATCTGTCCTACTCTACTGCAGTCACGTCCCTCATGGCTCAGTTTATAATGGCTTAAGCTGCAGTGGATCATAATTTGTACATCAAGAAAGTGGAGTGCCGGTATTTTTTCTTCTCTCTTTTACCTAAGTTATTCGCTACTCAGGAAATTTCTTCGGTGGATACTTTTGTACTTTAAGTTATCCAGTTACTTGAATGACTACTCTTACATCTAATCGAGTTACTTGTTTTACAAAGTAACAGTACTTTTACTTGGATACACTTTTTAGCTTCTCTACCAACCTGTGGTTCATATCTGTCATGGCCAGTGGCAATCATGGCATGGATCCCAAATTAAAGTCTGTGTACGTTTTACATTTAGGTGTATTCATTTTAGCTGACGCTTTTATGCAAAATGACAATATATATGATACAATTGCTACATGTATGGGAACAGACTGGGAATCGATACCAGATGTTCTGTCAATTTATGCTACCTATCGAGATGTGCTACTTAGCGGTTCCGCACCCATAAATTTGTGCAATCTTGCTGTTGTGCATGCCGTCGAGACAGTGGCTGATCAGCAATATAAAAAACAAAAACATCACTCATTTGTAACCATATAGGCAAGGCAATACAAGACAAGGCAAGTTTGTAAAGCACATTTCAACAAGGCAATTCAAAGTGCTTTATAGAAAAGATAAAAGCAACATAGGGCAAATTCTAGGCGTTCATATATTAAAAACTGCACAAAACACTTAGATAATGAAATACTGTTTGGAATGACTAAACAGGCACCAAAGATTTGTCTGACCAACTGTATGAGCACTGTAAATTTTTCTGTTACTGTGTGCACTATATTAGATGTCTCTGCTCTTAAAATGGTGAATGGTGAAGAGTGAATTGCATAGTTCAAGAGAGTACTTGGTCTAACTGGAATTGGAGCTGACAGGGAAGGAAAATCCAACAGCTATAAGTCTCTTCTGCAGTTGTTTTGGTTCACGCTGGCCTGGATGACCCAGCGGAAACTGTATTGTAACTGATGACAAGACCACTGGACGTTTTAATTGCAGTCTAATTTCTGTGGGAGCCTGGCTTGTCTTGCGTCACAGAGGTGGGTCGTTGTAAAATATTAAACACACTGTAAACCCAAAACTCAAAATAGGTGTGGAAACTGATCACCTCAAACTTTTATAGTAGTGGTAATAATATTTGAGTAAACCTCAACTTAAATATAAAAACATTAAAAAAAAACTTTAATTTCCACATACTAAATTATATTGATTCACTGATGCTTATTAATTTCCACTTATTCTTTACTCAATAACAGTAACTGTACACAGCTTATACTCTGAGGGAAATCTACTCAATTTTATTTTATTTTGCTAGACTCAAATACTAATGGAAACTAGTCCTTACACTACAACTACTAGTTGTAGTCAACTTAAAATTTACAAAATGCCCATATTCAGATAGTCAACAAAACCACAACTCCATTACAACAATTCAAGTTCCTTTTATTAGTATCTTCTGTCATTTGACACAAAATAAGGCACATCTTGCATAAAGCTGAATAGACTAAGTAATTGACTGCTTGATCAGATAATTAACCAGCAACAATTTTGATCGTTTGTTTTCATTCTTTTTTGCAATAATGTTGAACATTCTCCATTTTCAGATTTTCAATGAGATTTTTTGGTGTTAAATGATAATGACTTGGATCCTGAGCTAAATAAAATTTCCTTTTATTACTTACTTTAATGTGTTTTGTGGGAAAAAGTGTCTATGCATAATTTTATTTCATCTGCAGCAATTTTACTTAAATAATATAAAAGGGAGCTTCAAATGTGGAGTTTTACGGAATCATAAGCAAATAAAGATTGTCCCACACTATGCAGATTTTTAAGGTAACGGAACAATATCAGGGTTTCTGCAAGTTTCACCTGGTCAAATTTAAGACCATTATGAATAAAATTTAAAACCTATCATGACTAAAAGAAACACACAAAGGAAATGCAGTCACAAAATTACTTGCAGAGTAAATCAATGTATTCAAATTGATCATGTGTCTTTTCGGTGACTTTATAAAACATAACCTACTGCTGATGGAGAAACTCAGGGGACCAGACAGGGAGACGGAGAAGCAGGGAAAGCAGGTGTGTTTGCAGTGAGAGACCACAGGTAGAGGGGTGTGAGAGTGAAGGGAGAAGTCAGGCAGGCACAAAGAGTTTTACAAATAGAAATGTCCATGGGGATTAAAACATGTAAAAAATTAGGATGGTATGTTGTGTGGGGTAATGGGAGGTCCTCCCAAGAAAATTATGTTATCCAATAAAGAAATATGCAATCCCAGTTCATGTTTGTCTTAATTTACTGCTTTATACATTAACATAATTGGCAACATAAGAACCATCTCTACAAGCATTTCATTTGTACATCAAAATCCAACAGAATAATCTCAATAGCTTAAAAGGACTAGTTTGCACTTTCTGCCGTTCTCCGTCACATTCGCTCGTCATTTGAAGAACTAGGAGAGGGAGACAGCCATGCGTTGAGTGTTACCGTAGCTTACTGATAATCATTAACGATGGTGTGAAATTTTAATAGTGGCGCTCATTCATTAAGCAGCGACAGTAACTTTAGGCTTCAAATGCGTTGCTAGACACTGGTTTTAAGCACCAAGATCTGTTTTTCCATCCAAGAACCGATAAGGTTGCACTTCCCCATAGCTGAAAAATAAATTGGTTTTTTTATCTGTGGTACAATCAGAAAGACTTGCGGCAATAACACGAAAGATTCCTTTTGGTCTTTGTAGTCGTAATACAGCAAATTATATTTGGACCGATTTGGACTATCGACAGAATGAACTACAACACCACAGGAGGAAAAAACGTTCTTGAGCGCTGCGGGGCCATTTCAATGAGCATTAGAGGTAGCGTTAGCGTTACATGGACGTTGGAAAATAAATACCAGTTTAAAATTATTTAACACCTAGAACACAAACTTCAGTGAATTTAAGACTTTTTACGGCCTTAAACTTTGATATGTTAGACTTTATTAGACTTTTTTTGGACCCCGCAGAAACCCTGGAGGACGTCTGCCTGGCAGGTGCTGTTATCAGAGCAGCTCCTTTAATCTGGAGGTCTCAGATTGTTTGATTGTCCAAGTGACAGAAAGTGAGGGTAAATCTCAGAGGACAAAAATGTTCTGCCAGTAAAAGTACAGTGTCAGTGTGTCAGGTAATAAATGCTTCTCCAGACCAACAAAAGTCTGTTCCCAAACAGCTGAAGAAGTGAAGCAGGTTAACAAACATCTCCCCTTCAGACTGGAAGCTAAGCAGGGAGCTAACAGAATGTCTTTTAGTTCAAGTTATAGAAGAATAAATCTGTTTTTTATCTGTGGTACAATCCGAAAGACTTGCGGCAATAACATGAAAGCT